ATATCATCCACATAACCCTTGACTCTCAAAACCCCATATGAACTAGCCTACTTTTCAACTTAGTATGCTAGTTCTTAGGCGCCTATCGCAACCCATACATTTGCAGTTTACAAACTAGCTTATACCATCAAGAGTAGCTTGTTTAAACCCAGGCGGTTGTTGAATAAAGATATTCCCGCTCAAATCACCATGCAAAAAAGCGTTGCTCACATCCACTTATCTCAAGGACCATTTATATGTGACAAGAAGCAAAAGAATGATATTCAACGTAGAAAACTTGACCACCGGGTTGAAAGTGTACTTAAAATCTTGACCAGTGACTTGAGAATATCCCTTAGCCACCAGACGAGCCTTGTACCATTACACCAAGCCATCAGGGTTCCGTTTTAGTTTGATTATCCATTTGCAGCTAATTGCATCATCAACAATACTCAGAGAGTCCTCTGGCTTAAAAACTCCACACTTGCCTATGGTAAACATGGGTTCTTGTTGGAACACAACCCACTACTCCCAACAACATGTTCATCACTAGTTGGTTCAACTGCAACTGGCCCACTACTCCCAACAATAGGTTCATCACTAGATGGTTCAGTTGTAATCGACCCATGTAATTGCATAGTTTCATCGTTTACTTAACAAGATGTAGTAGAACTACTTATATGTAAGTTATGCTCATCATCGAGGGGCAAACCATCTTAAGAATAAAACATTGCTGCATCAACAGGTCCTGCATCTGCTTGTGGAGATGGAAGAGAGGCACATGATCTTGCAGGAGTATGAACAGTATTTCTGCGTGGAAACAACCTGAAGAGTTACAGAACGTTGTCATTGGGTAGCACCAGTAATGTACACTCTATTTTTTCTGCAAAGGGAAACACCAACTCGTCAAATTTTACATGCCTGAATATATAAACACGACCATCTGGACCAAGGCATTGAAATCCTCAATATTGGGAAGAACATGCAAAATTAAGACTTGAGTCTTAGTTTGTGTGATTGAAGCAGTCTTAAATGCGGGAAACAATGACACCCAAATAATCTCATAGACTTATAATCCAGTTTGTGCCCAAACAATCTTTCAAACGGAGAGACATTATCCAACACTCTTGTAGGTAGATCTGAGCAAATAGAACCAAAGCCAGTTCAATTAAGTGTCGATGCTTGCGCCCGATAACCCCATTTTGCTCAGAAGTATATGAGCAATAAATATTTTGCATTATACCATCTTTTGATAATTCACTCAATAACGTCATGTACTCGCCTCCCCCAATCACTCCAGAGGGCTTTGAAGTAAAGGAAATTGTGTAGCAACCATGCTCTTAAACAACCGAAATGCTTCAATGGCTTGTGACTTATCTTTTAACAAGTAAAGCCCGGTATGATGTGTAAAAACATCAATAAAGAAAATGTAATAACGAAAGCCACATGAGCAGCTCCCCAAAGATTAGTAAAAATAAGTTGAAATGGCTCACCATACAGTCTTAGAATCATCAAACGAAAGCTTGTGACTTTTACCCAAACACCAAGCAACACAAATATATTCATACTGCTTGAAATGTTTACATCAATGAAATTACAAACTGTTTTATAAAGTATTAAATATTGGGTGTCCTAATCTTCTATGCCAAAGATCATAAGAGCTAGAAGAAGCAGTGATCGAATTGACCTTTGCTTTATTACAACTTGGATTCCTACTATCCATAGTAAAGGTGTAGAGACCACCACTTTACTTCCCTCAAAGAAGCACACTGCCACTTGCCTCATCACAAACACAACAACCATTAGAATAAAACTTGAAGAACACTCGATTATCTCTAGCAAGCTTGTAAGATTGATACTCCATTGGTAAACCTTTTAAGATTCTATCAATATGTTGAACCGGAGACACTAGACTTTCATAAGAGGTAAGGGCATCACAAACCTCTTTAACGCGCGTGAGATAGACACGCATGGAATCGTCTCCCTTCTTCAAAAATTGAAGTTTGTAGTGCACGTTCATCACCGTCGTAGTGGATTTGTTGGCAAAAAACCTCAAGATTGTGCTCCAAACAGCTGTAGTAGATTCAAGACCAACAAATTGCTGCAATAGAGGGGCGTTGATCGTTGACAAAAGCTAAGACGTAAGGGAACTATATTGAACCAAGAAATAAGCTTCATTGAAAACGGTTTCACCATCCTCACCAATCACCGTCTCCATGGGAATCGACATTGATCTGTTCAACAATTGCTCGAGTCGATGACTACAAACCGTAAGAAGAACTTGGTCCTTCCATAGAATGAAGTTCTTCTTATCAAGCACCACATTGACCTTCTTATTAATAAACATCTTGATGTTTTTTGAGGCTTCACCATGATCAACATCTACAGCAGTACCAAATTGCCTAGAACCAGTAAGAGACATCGCAACTTAGAAGAAATGAACTCCAAGATCTCTAGCGAAGGATACCATGTTGAGAAAACTAGAAAGAGTATAAACTTCCCATAAACTTTTCTTATTCAACAAAGAGAAGGTACATTGTTTTTATAACACTCAACTATCAACTTTAACAGCCTAACAACCTAATCGCAGGGCTAACAGCTAAGCCTAACAGACTTAGGCTCAGTTCAAGTACAGTAGTGCACAAACCATGCACGTGAAACTTTTTTTGCATGACTATTATATTCCAACATGCACCCATTATTATTCCAAATTTTTTGTGTCCATTCATTGATAAGTTGGTCCTTCGATCCATGTGATTTAATTATACTATGCATACTCTATCTATAATATCTTTGATACTTAATATAGAAATAAGTTTCTAAATTATACTTAAAGTTAATTGTTAATGTTTAAAGATTTTTTTTTTTGCTAAAAAAAGTGTCTATCATTTTTTTCCGTTACATTTTTAGGTTAAATGATATATTTCATATTTAGATTTTTTAAATAATATTTTATTTTAAAAAATTTCAGAAAAAAATATAAATATGACTTGTCACTTAAGGATTTTTTTAACGATAGACACCTAAAAATGTAACGGATAAAACATTAGATACAAAGTTTTAACGAAAAATTATTTAGACACTAAAAATTAACTTTGCATGTAATTTGGACACTTATATTTACATTAAGCCTATGTTTGAAATATTTTAAGAAAAAATAATTTTTAAATTCATTTTTTGAATGGGGTATATCTCTCTGTCTTTCAAGAAACAAATAATACGTAAGACTGAGCATAGTTGAGCTTCTTATAAATACCAAAGCAAAAAGCAAGTTGAGAATCAACTCTTACTATTATCTAATAAATTCTATTATATTAAATAAAGAAACCAAGGTAAGTGAGAAAAAGAGGGAATCCATATTATTATTTCAATTTAAAGTCTATATGAAATTATTTTACAAATTCTATATTTATAGTTAAAGAGTAGAAATTATATATAATTTTAATCTTAATGGACATTAAAGCATTAATAATAATATCAAAATACTATTTAATAGATACTATTATAATTATAATAAATTTGAATTAAACTCATACTTTGGTAAGAAACTTAAAATCTTAAAGTAATTGAAAATGAAATCAAGCTCTCACTGGTTAAATAATTTATTATTTGAAGTTAAAATTCATGGTTATAGACACCCCTTGGTCGTACTTGAGATAATATAACTCAGTTTATATAAAACATAACGAAAGGAGTAAATGGAGAGCCAAACTCCAAGCTTCAGTAAAACCGAAGCAATGAAGAAGGTGGCGATGACCAACCATCCCCTTGCATTATTCATTTAATAAAACTAAGTAGGAGTAGGCAATGAAGGAGGCTATCGTATTACCTTCTCTTTAATTGAATTAAATAAATAACAGCTAACTACTCGTACCCAAAAGTCCAAACGCAAAGGCTGGCAAGTGGAACTATCTTAATCTTTTATGTGTATGGCCTATGACAGATAAATGCCTGCTTTTATCATATGTATATGGTAAATAGTTAGTGCTTCTTTTTCTTGATTTTTCAGCTTTTATCAAAATATATAATAATTACATTATTCTAAGTTATTTTCGCATATGGGAATAGGATTTTGTTGTTGTTGTTGTTGTAAGTCCTTTTCCATTTGGTCATACATAAACAAATTCGATCTATGCGTGTGAAATAGAAATAGGGAGGTTGAATTCCATGAATATGAAGACAGAAGGATGTGTCCAAGACTTGTGGTACATCACTTGTGTTGTTGCCCATAAGGTGTCTGAGAAATGAAACAAAACCACGGCATTGACATATAATATCAAATTTTAAATTATTTAAATCACGCAAAATTCAAAAAAAAATCCCAACTATCCATTCCCAAAGAAAAAGACCAGAATGACAAGCATGCTATCTAAACTTCCATGTTTGTGAATTGTGATCAGAAGAAGACCAGAATTTTCATTTATATCTGTAGAATAATGTAGCGAATAGAAGAAAATAGAGAGAATGTAAACCTAAAATTTTGTTTTTCAGATGGATGAAAAGGGAACGATCATGTGCAAAAAGGCCCCACCAATTGGCAGAGTCCGAGCAATCAGACAGTAGAAGGTCCCAAAAGGAGAGCCACGCCAATCAACTTCCATGTTTGTGAATTGTGACCATCAATCTCAATTCTTTTTTTGATTATTCAATTTTAAAGATTTTTAATTATTTAATTGTAAATATTTATATATCTTTACGGATAAAATGTTTTTGACACCTCAGGAGATTACAATAGAAAAGCAAAATTGTTGAGTTCGATTCTTTTCAAAGAGATTGTGGGGAGGAGTCGATGCCCCATTTGAGTTCTTTTCAAAGGGAAGCAGCAGTAAAAAAGAAAGAAGAAACCACAGTGCATCTTGTTCTTTCCTTTCTCTCCTTTTCATGGCTTTAACTCGTTAAAACCCTCTTTTTCCTCAAGCCCACTGCATATAATCTCTATACAGAACAATAAAAGCAATGGATATATATATATATATATATATACTTCAATGCACATTCATGATTCAATCATAGGCAAAAAGAGAGAGCAAGAGTTTGATCCCATATATGCTTCAAAAATAATCACAAACTATTCCATCATTTCTGTAAGCTGTACACTTTTCTTATTCCTAAGAGATTCTCTATACCTAATTCTTCACAAAAATTTCACCCACAATCCAAATACCCCTATCCCTATATATGTATTAGGGTATGCAGTTTCCTCCAACACTTGCTGCTCCCACAAATTTAGTCATTGGCTTGCTCGAGTGTCCGCTGGAGTATTTTTGCTCACGGATGGTAACAGGAAACGCAGAATTCCTCACCGTGTCAATCGATCTTGTTGTGGTTTTCATGATGTCATCGGTCTTCGATGAAAATCCTTCCCATAAAATCCCGAAACCTCTTTGAGTAGTGTTTTGGACCAACAGCTGATATAGACGTAGGATCAGCTTGCAGGGATTTGTATGCATGCTCTAGTTTCTTGCTGATGTCGTAATCTTGTAAGATATCGATGATGCCAAAGTATAAGACTGCTTCATAAACTTCACCACTATATGAAAAGTGACCGGCTCCACCCCGAGTATACTGATCAAAATCGCTTCTTCTCACCATTCGTTCTGCTCTTGCTGGCATGTTCGCTCCTAACCGAATCAATGGCTTCCTGTTAAAACAAGACTATATATAAGATTGAGTTCAGTACATAAAACGCTAGATTGAAATTTGTGACAAGGAAACAGACTTTTAAGAAGTTTACAAGTTCTTATTTTAGTCTACTTTCACGGTCATCTAGTTTATGAATCATAAAGGACAGTATCTGCCAGTAGCAACATGCCCCACAAAAAAAAATTGTTGTCTTCTTGATTATACACACAAGAACAATCATACAACAAACGCAATCCTCAATTATTCCATGGGATATGGTCAAATTATACCGAATTTTGGCAAAATCCAATATAACTTTAGAGACGAAACCCGGCATAAACTTTAAACCCGTAAGCGACAGCACATACAAGCAACTGTGGCCAATAACCTTGCCCACTTCCACATCTATAATAAGCAACTAACTTGAACCACAAAAATAATTAAAGGAGACAGCAAAAAAAAACATACTGGCCAGCTAAAATCCGATCCATGTCTTGTAGCTCTGCCTCGAGAAATCTACATCCACGCATAAACTTTTCATTTTGATATGAATCCTCTTTGCCTGCATAGGGCGTGCATAATCGAATTAATATTTTTATTGCAACAGAAACACCAATAAAATTTCATATGAAAAAAAATACAATTGTCTATTAACTTACCTGTGCGTACGAGAAACGGTGATAACCCCATTTTATCACCTCTATTATCATCACGAAAGTGTAGTCCAACCAAAAGACTGTAATCCATAATTCTCTCAGCTTCCAAGAACTCACAATCTCGATCAATTTGCCTGCCACCATTTAGTTATACAAGTTAATGATGATAATTGAGAAGGATTATGAAGTGACATAACAGGTGCAGCAGCAGCAAAGAAATAGCTTACTTCATAAGCTCCTGGAATCGATTTCTTTGGAGGCGAAACACAAAATTGAGATCCAGATCTTTTAAGGTTGTGGTTTCGTCAATTTCATCTTCAGGCTTATCAGTTAAGCGACCATGGGAGGAGCCTTTAAGGTCAAACCGTCTATGGATTTGGTATTCCGAGCAGAACATGTTGCCCATTACAATGAACCGGGTCTGGTAATTTTAACCATATTAATTATTGAGCAAGTGAGGATAGTTCACCAATGAACAAAGCATAAAACGAGTAATTCAATTTATTTTCATTATATTTCAAACACAAACCTTCTGGCCACCGATAGGTTTGACACAATGTACGCCAAAGAACTTTGTCACAAGGGAATTTTCATACCGATTGACATGTTGGTAATAACTTGGAAGCATCCCGATAAGCACCTGAAAAGGTTAACCAAACTTTAGATTCAGTCTTAATCATTCCATGCATCAAATGTTTACCTTAACCACGAAAGCAAAGTGAAAATTGTGAAACAAACGATCTTCAAAATTCTCATTTGAGAACTAATGCATCAAGACACATTGCAACTTTCACATTATGTCAAATGGATTGGTAACTAACCTTGACTTCTGATTTCTTTACGGTCTTTATCATAAATCTATCATCTTGAGTAAGGTAAAAGAAGCTCCCACTCTTCCCCGGAGAAGAAAGCTCCCTCAGGGCGTCATTCCCACAGATAGCTAGCATGTATTCGGCCGGATCCACTTGGAATAGCTCTCTCAAATCTCTTTAGAAACCGGAAAGGAATCCAGTCAATAACATAGCAATAAACAATATCAATGTAATACTAATACCTGTTTGCAACCTAGCAAAAGCTAAAGCAACATACCTAAACACCACGGGACAATAATCCTTCCATCGGAACTCCACGGATTGATGAGAGGGTGTAAGCTTTGATCCTTCTGTAGGAAACCTCGTCCAGAACTTCTCTTTCGGATCAAAGTCGCTGGGTTTCAACTCACGCAATATCGAAGCATGTTTCCCAACAGAGTACCTATAACAAAAGAGAAAATCAAACCCTAATTCGAACGTAAGAGACATATATTCACCACCAAAACCTCGAAAAGATATTTCACCTGATACCTAATTGCAAATTGAGCATTAAATCGTAGTTCTTATGGCCTTTGGAAATAGTTTGTCCAGGCTTCTTAATTTCCCCACTAAAACAACAAGGGTTTCTTCTAAATGGCCTAAACCTATCTCTGTAAATCATTGAAGCTTCCATGTTATCGATTATATCACAAGTAATATCACCTGCTTCACCATCACTTTCCCATATGCAAATCCTTGGGAAATTCATGTTCCTTTCGCCGGCGCTTCCCCTACTATCCACCGACGATCTCTTCCTCGGCATAAGCCTCAAACTCTGTCCTCCCTTCAGAAAATTTTCTTTCCCTTCGTTTAGCTGTTGGAATTTCTTCATGTTCTCTTCGTTCCAAGCACCGATATAACAACTCCCGCTGGGCCACGATAAAACGCCGTTTCCTTTGGGGACTCCGTTTTCCCATTGTCCTTCGTACCAGCTTCCGTTTCCAAAAATCAGGGTTCCACGGCCGGAGATAACGCCGTTTTTCCATTCCCCGATGTATTCATTCCCGTTACTCCAAACATAACGACCCTGCCCGTCTTGTAAGTTTTTCTTCCACGATCCTTCGTAGTAATCCCCATTGGCGTAACGTTTAAGGCCATAGCCGTGTTTCCGATCGGAGCTCCATGACCCACGGTACATGTCTCCGTCGGGTCCAATGAAGGTCCCGAATCCTTCCATCCGACCCGACTTGAAATCGCCTTCAAAAGTGGCTCCAGATGACCAAGAGAACTTGCCTTTCCCGGAAGCTTTCCCGCGACGCCACTCGCCTTCGTACATACACCCATCTTTCCAAAGGTACTTCCCCGATCCGTTAGGCGCGTTGCCGGAGAAAGTGCCGATGAATAGATCTCCGTTAGGTAGGAGCTTCTCAACAGTAGCACCAGAATTGGCGTTGAGAAAGGGCGTATAGGTAGTGGTGGGAGTAACGCGCCGAGTGGTTGCTTGAGATCGAGTCCTGTGAGGGGTAGCCGTTGGAGTCTTCACAGTAACCAGCAAACAGACCTTGTCGTCGTCGTCGGATTTCTTCTTCTTAGAATTTGAAACGACGTGGGTCTGCTCATTGAACAGTGCTTCGTGCATTTTCGAGCGTTCTTCCCTCTGTGGCTAAAAAAGGAAAAGTTTCTTTCCTTGGGACTTACAGTATAATACTTGTCTCTTGGTTTCGTCCCCGAGATTCAGCTACTGCATTTCCGGCGAACAGGATTATAACTTTCTCTCTGTTTAAAACCTTTTATCTTTAGTTTCCTGTTCTTTGGTTTTCTTCTTGGAGAAAATGGCAAGAGAACGAAAATCCTACAGAGGAAGAAGGAAAATGAAACCCAAATTGAAAGACAGAGAGATTAAAAAAGATGTTTTGGTACCAAAAAAAAATATCAATTTTTAAAATAATATATTTGCCTGAAACAAACCATCTTCTCCCTTTAATTGAAACACTAGATATATTTACCTGCTAAGCTGCTTCTTTATTTTCAGAGGACAACTTTATCCGAATATGCCCTTTGGTTTTGACCCAAATAACGGGATTCCAATTCATCTCATATTTTTCGGTAAATCTAGTGAAATAGGATATTTAAGAAATTATTTGAAAATATTTAGTATTAAGTCATCATGGCCCTTTTAAAAAAATGATAAAATTAATTATAATTACTAATGAATTTATCGAAATCGTTAACGAATGAGTGTGACTTTGGTAACAAAGATGACATTAAAGGAAAAAATAGTATGGACAAAATTACAAAGAAATGGCAAAAATAGAATAAAATTGAAGGAAAATAAAAAGAATAGGGACCAACATTGACAAGGAATGACGTGAATATAGCAAAAATTAAAAAAGTGCACGAGCTATGTGTGTTGTCGACATAAGTTGGTACGACAATAATAACCATGTCTAATTATTTGGATAAACTACATCATTAATCACTGAATTTTATTTTTCTCATATTTTATATATTATGTTTTTATTTTTCAATATACTTATTAAATTTTATCGATTGAATTATTTTGGTCACTCAATGATGATATGAATCATTTATTATTTTTATATGACATATCATATTTTTTTTATTATTTTAATACCAAATATGATCAAAATTAAAAAAAATTGAAAATTCTAAATTACACCCTTAAATTTTAAATCCTAATCGTAGATTCCTAAATTATATCTCAAATCGTAAATCTCAAATTACAACCCCACCCATCCTTACCCTTGATTAGTTTACCCCATCAACTAATAGTGACACGTCAATGACCTCATTGATTACTCATCGACAATGGCTTAAATTATGATCTCCAGCATAGTCTCACCTAACGACGATATCAGATCTTGAAATAGAAATGGGAACCACATGGTTGTTATGTTACGGGCAATTTCAAACAGTTTGAAATGGCAATCAATGGAGGATGAGGAGGAAGAAAAGGAAGAAGTTGTAGTTGAAGAAAGTGTTGTTACTGAGAGGTGTTGCTGTTGAAGAATGTGTTGTCGTTGAGAGAAGAAGGTGTTGTCGAGAGGGTGATGATTTTAATTTGGGATTTAAGATTTAGGGTACAATTTCAAAATTTAAAGTTTGAGTGTATAATTTAATATTTTTAAATTCACTTTCTATTATAATCTTATATAAAATTAAAATATTAATAAAAATATGACATGTCATATGAAAATAATAAAATAATATATATCATCATTAAGTGAAAAAAAAATTAATCTATAAATTCAATGAGGAAATTAAAAAAATTAAAAGTATAGTCATTGAAATAAGAGATAAAATAAAGTTCAATGATGAATAATATTGTTTACTCATATTATCTTAGATTATTTAATAAAAATATCACATTGTTTCGGTATTTGTGATTTTAAAGTCTATTAAGTGGCTACGGGAGTTAAATTTGAGCAATTATATGTGTAAGGTGTATTTATATTATCAATAAAGTAAGCAAATTTTAAATATATATTATTTTATAATTACTTAAGAATATACAAAAAAACAGTGTTTAAATATAAATTTTTAAATATATATTTATTAAGTGATTGAAAACAAAATTCATATATACACTAAGTTATTATTACCCGATTCATATTTGTGTATGTACTAAGATGTGCCTATTATATGTAAAACATATTTTTCTAGTTTTTTGACAATTTCTATAATTTTGATTTACATTTTGGTCCTTTTTGTAATTCATTCTCGGTTTGGTCCCTTTTATTTGTATTTTTCCTTAATTTTGTCCTCTATCATCGAAATTGTTGTTATTTATTGATAAATTTGAAAAAATTATAGATAATTGTAACTTATATTGTTCAAAAATAATAATATATGAAAAATTTTAAATTCATAGAACAATTTTGTTAAAGCCGTCACTATTTCAAAACAATTTTGACAAATAGTATAAATTACACTCCAAATTTTTAAATAAATTATTGATACCCCATTTCTCTTATTTGTTTTTTTGGTAAATAACGTGAAAAGAGAAACTAAATCTTATTTGTTTTAAATCCATTATTTCATTAAAATTGTCCATATTTTTGTACCATCATTTTCTTTATCCGATTCTCATCCCGCCTCAACGAAGCGCAGCATATGGCAGCACTCAGCAGACAATCGGTGCGTCATTTCTTGAATATTTATGTTTTCATCCTTGATTTTCACCTTAATTACAGCAGCGCCCACAACATTACAAGAAAAAGTTGAGTTAAGCTAACAAATCATCAAAAGTAATAAATTAAGACGGGATATGAGAATAAAATAGAAATTTAATTAAAACAAAGTATATAATATAAAATAAAATATAACATAATAGCATCAGACAGGGACGAACGCGAGATTTCATGTTAAGAGGTGAATTTATAAAATTTTAAGAAAGTGAAAAACTCATATAATTATAAAGGGGGAGAAAACAAGTTTTCAACAAAAAAATATAAATAAAATTTATAAAAAATATAAAAAATAATTTAAAATTTTTTAGGGGAGCAACCACCTCCAACTACCCTTCTCGATCCATTCCTATCATCATAATCCATTTATATATACATACAAAACAATTAGTAACATATAAAAATATATAATTTACAAATTAAACATAATATAAACTTGTACTCACATTTTTTCTCTTTCCAAAGACTAAATTAACCTAAATAATAATAGATTCATTTGACAACGGAAACTCTTAGGGACGATAATATAATTTAAGGTTAAAAACGATATAAATGATTACAATAAAAAATATTAATTTTTCTTTACATTTTAAGTTATATTCAACCGAAAATATTATAATTTTTATTACATTTTCAGTTATACATCTTCCTTTAAACAATCACTTTCATTTCCCATTCAAGCTTTTTAATCGGCAGGAGACAACTTTTACATTAGGTTAAAAATATAAATAAGAGAAAGTGAGAAGAAATAGTAAGGGAAAAAAGTAGAGGGGAACTGTTTTATTAACAAATTTTAATTATATGTTTTTTAAAACTTTCATTTGTCCAACAAAATATTATAAAGATTGACGATCCCAATTAAATAGAAATATAATATGTGAATAAGCACATTTGATAGAGTGATAAAGTTTATCATTTTTTATTTTCCTTATTTTTTTTAGGTTATAAATTCTAGATTATTAATAGCATTTTTGTTTATTTAAAAAAAATTCCTTCCGCTCTAAATAAATATAAAGTTAAGATTATAATTAAAATTTATATACAAAATAACAAATAACAGATGGTATTATAATCATATGATCATTGACTAGTAATTTCGTTGCTTTTTAACACGGTTAGTATTTTAGGCTAGATTGAAAAATAGATAAGTTTGTTTTGTTTTTTGTTAAAGACTGATTTTGGTGATAAAGTGAGACAAATTCCTTTAAATGAGTTGAGTTAAGATAATTTTTTTTATTCATATACATTTTAAAAATTAGTTTATCAATGAAGACTAAAATGAAAGTTTAATATAAATATGAGTTTTTTAATATCATTTCGAATAAATGTAACTTTTGAATGAATTACAAGTATAATTATAAATAAATTCACTAAAATACATTTTATGATCATAACCCGAATTAAACAGTAAATGGCTAAATGCACAGCCAAATCAAAAGTTCAAATATACTTGAACAAAAATTAAAATAAATTTGGACAAACTTATATATGTGGTGGAATTAAACCAAAAATGTAACACCTCAAGATTTTGGGGCAAAATTAAAAGGCTAAGGAATTCCAGCATCGGTTTGCAAACTTATGGAAGTATGGGGACTAGGTTCATAATTAACGTAATTCTTTTTAGGAATTTAGAAAACCCAATTTTTCATTATTTTCTCTCATTCTTCCTCTTGAAGTGTAACCCCGGTTTTCAACTCTTTCACACATTCTCTATTGTTTATTTCGATTTTCCCGTTTCGTCATCATCCGTGTTGACATGTGTCTCACCGTCGGCACCAATCGTTCCAACATATCGTTCTCGTTCATTCGGAGGTCTCTATTTATTCAGCATCCCCGACATTATCGTTTTGAGAGGAGGAGAAGTTTCAGGTTTTGCAAAATAGTGTATCTTCTTCGTGTTTTGCTTTCACATAACTATGGTGATCACGTCTCTGCATCGCTCTCTAGTAGATCCTGATCGCCCTTGCTCAGCTTAGTTTAGATCCTCACGTTCGACTTGAGATAAGTGTCTTTATTCTGCAAGACCTAGTATCATCGACCGTGGAAAGCGTAAGACTTAGTTGGTGCTATTTAGCTGATATGGGTGTATCCTCATGACCTGTATGATAAGTTTATTAATTTCTTACTATTATATTGTACAATTTTGTATGTGAGTATGTTCGTATTCTCCTTATGTTTATTAATAACAAGTCTGATTTCTTATTATTGTTGTATTATTTTCTGTATATTGGTTCATTTTTGTCATCTACATGAGATCATCTACAGAGGGTAACATCTCTATCATGTTTTTGTTTAAGATCCTCTTTGGAGGACAATATCCCCATTATAATTTATCTTTCTGACTAGGATCCTCTTCGGAGGATAGCATCCCCATCTTGATTTATGTATTCTAATTTGGGTACCTCTTCGGAGGGAAAACGTCCTCATCTTGTTTATCAAAGGCAGAAGGTAAGGTAATACCTCAAATATCATGTCAGTGACTTTATTGAAAAGTTTTAAAATTTGAGGATTAATTTTAATAAATGAAAAAAATGAAAAATGATTTGGAATAGTTATTTAGACTAAAATGTAACAATGGATGATTAAAAGGGCGTTTTGGTCATTTGGAATAAAATAAATTTTAAAACACAAATTTTAATAAGGATT